GCCCTACAGGCCTCGTTGGCTATCTATCATCTCATATCCAATGCGCGCACGTGGAATAATTGTTAATTAGGCCATCGAGTATAAATTTGTTCTTGCTACTAGGCTAAATTCAAATGATGTGATGGAAGGTTACAAATGCTCTGTTTGGACATGCGCATATGCAGTCTTCTGCATGTAAAACTGAAAATAGCACAACGGAAGCATTGCATAGTCTGAGTTGTATAGCATCAAGGATGTGAACACGTTAGCCTAAATCCGTCTAATGCCCCGTTCAGTTGGGAGATTCACAAATAAAATGTGGCTCACTCTTTCTTTTCACCCTTTTACTCCCAAGATCTGATTTTTACTTCTTCCCTCTAGCTGCTATACATTTCGTCGTAAATTAGTTGCAAGAATTTGGTGTTAGATCAAGATGACAAACTTTAACCCTATAACTGAGTACTTCTCATTGTGCTGGATAATGTATAGATATTTAAGGGAGAAGCTATTTGACAAATCGACAGTGGTTAAGTGTGGTCTGTACTCTTACCGACAACCATATTCGTCATTACAGTTATCAAAACGTCATACAACAAATTTTGACCATATAACGGCTACTTGTGGTAAAAATGTTAATCTCTTGTGGGAGCTAAAGGTTATTCCCTCACCTTGTCAGATGAACATTTGGCAAAGTCAAGCTTCACCAATTTCCTTACAACTTGAATACTTCCATTTGAGGAGGCGATGTGTAACGCGTTTAGTCCCTCCTGACAAGAAAAAGCAAACAAAAGATATTTGAGTAAAGAACTAACCCTTGCAGATGAACTAAATTTAATGGAATTGCAGAAAAGAAGCCTAAAAATTCAGAGTTAGACAAGATACGATCCGCGTCGCGTCCTGGTCAGTTATGGAGGTGAAAAGGTCAACTTACTAAAAGTATAGAAGAGACAAAAACCACGCCTGTCATTTTGAGATCTCTCCTAGGAACAGCACAAAAAATGACAGAAGAATGAAAAGAAATTCTTACAAACCTTAACACTGGTTCGGTTAAGTGGTGTTTTTCCCCATAGCATATCAATAACTTTGACTTGACCAAACTTGGCGGCTAAATGCAGAACGCTATTGCCTTCCTACAAGTATATATGAAACGGAATAGGTAACCTATCTTTGGCTTTTACTACAGAGCATCGCAAA